ATGAAAATTCAATCGACAAAAAATATCGATTTACCTTCCTCACTTTCCAATCCTTTTAAAATTAATGAATATTTTTCCTCTGTGTTCCAAGACAGTAATGAAAGATGCTTGGATTCAATTTTATTTTATAGAAGTAACTCCTTTAGTAGAGATATTAAATTTCACTTCAAAACAATAACACTATCTCAACTCTACACTATCATTTTGAATATAAAATCAAATGCTGGTGGTAATGACAATATAAACATGTCAATGTTAAAATTGTGTCTAAATATTATTGATGTTTATCTGCTACATATTATAAACTTATGTTTAGAACAAGGATATTTCCCAGAATGTTGGAGACAAGCTTTGATAATACCCTTACCTAAAAAGCACAATCCTAGTTCATACAATGAACTGCGTCCAATAAGTCTACTGCCTCTAATTTCAAAAATTCTTGAACGTGCAGCCTATTTCCAAATATACGAATATCTTTGTGAAAATAATATAATCCCTTTGCATCAGTCGGGTTTTCAAAAGGGTTTCAGTACTTCAACAGCTTTGGCACATTTAAGTGACAATATTTTCAATAGTATTGATAAGAAAAAAGCAGGTGTCCTAGTTCTACTAGATTTTAGCAAAGCGTTTGACACCATTAATCATAGTCTTCTTATATCCAAGTGTCAATATTATGGATTTGATAGAATTTCATTAGGTTTCATAAAAACATACTTAAGTAAACGATCACAGTTAGTTACAGTAAACGGTCAGAAATCAACATCCATTCAAATCAAATCTGGTGTACCACAAGGTTCAGTCCTAGGGCCCCTGCTTTTCTTACTCTATACTTCGGATTTCTACAAACACGTAAATAATTGTGCAGTCCAATTTTTTGCTGATGACACTCAGCTGTTCCTCGATTTTTCGTCGAATGAAGTCATTACTGCAGTTGATAAGATTAATCAAGATCTTAAAAAAATTGATAACTATTCGTCTGATCATAACCTTCACATTAATGCTTCGAAATCCAAACTATTATTATTCTGTAGTAAAAATGTTAGACAATATATAAAGAACAATACAACTCTGATGATATCTGGTGAATCTATTCCACATGAAACTGAGTCTATAAATTTAGGGTTATACTTTGACGATCAAATGAGGTTCAGTCAACATGTCAACTATATGTTACAAAAGTGTTATAGTGGTCTTCGCTTGCTTTATTCTAATAAGCACATCCTACAGAACCAATCTATAAAAATAAAACTTTGCCAAAGCCTTGTAATTTCAAAAAAATAATATGGAATTGTTGTGTATTATCCTTGTTTAACAGCTGCTGATCGTAACCGTTTGCAAATTATGCAGAATACATGCTGCAGATTCGCAAAAGGACTTAGAAAATTCGATCATATTTCCCAAGCCTTCTCCCAAACTGGCTGGCTAACTGTTAATAATTTATATATATTTATGTTCCTTTCTTTTCTTTTTAAAATACTTTCTACTGCGTCACCATTATATCTTATGAGCAAATTAACTTTTAGATCGTCTACGCACAATGTAAACATAAGAAACAATTTTAATTTATCAATGCCTCGTCACTCTAGTGCTATTTATAATCGTAGTTTTTCGTATAACGCGGTTGTTCTGTACAACGCTTTACATACCGATATTAAAAAATCACGATCTCTACCTGTTTTTAAAAATGCTTTAAAAAGGCAACTCTTTATTAGTCAAATGTAAACTGGTAGATATAATGAGCTACTAATGTAAAATTGTATTGATAAACTTTTAATATTATAGTTATTTAAATGTATATGTTTTGTTAGGGTTAGGTGTAAGAATAGCCACAGGCTAAACCTCGCCCATGCTAACTGTACAAAAATGTAATTATTTTGTGCAAATAAAGACCCGTTATTATTATTATTATTATATTCGTAACGCCTTGAACGCCTATGCGATACAGCTTTTCTAAGAGAAGATCATGATCTACACTGTCAAATGCTCTACTAAGATCGAAATAAAGAGCTAGTGGATATTTTTTATCATTTAGGTGATTATAGTGTAGTTTCTGTTGACCTTTTTTATCTAAAGTCATGTTGTCAGTTGGGTATTAGTCCCTTCTGCTCTAAAAAGTTGGTTAATCTCATATTGTAGCTATAGTCAATGATTTTAGCAAATGGCGTATATACTAATATTTATGTAGTTGCTAACCTCGTTTACGGACCCTTTATTCTTAAATATGGGTATTGACTTTGATATTTTCAGTACATTTGGATAGATGCCCATACAAAAAGACATTAATTATGTGTGAAAGTGGATATGATATAATGTTACTTACTGCTTTTAGAGCTTTCCCATGAACTCCATCATTCCCTGGTGTTGTTTTTTTAGTTGTTTTAAATATGATTTCCTCTATCTCATAAGGTGTGGTTGGAGTAAGAAAGAAAGTGAAAATAGAATGAGGATGTAGATTCAACACGTGTGACTGGTTTCTGTGCTTTATTATCCAGAAAAAAATCATTAAAGTGATTATATAATATATTTTTGTCAGTGACAACTTTTTTATCAATTAAAATTTTTGGAGTATGGTTTCTATTATTATTAGTATTATTTCTTGTTTCATTGATAATTTTCCAGCTTTCTTTACTGACATTTTTAGAGTTTTTGATTCTATTGTTGTTATATTCTAATTGTTGTTATATTCTACTTGTTATATTCTAATTGTTGCTTCTTTACTACATTTTTATATTATATTATTATTTTTAAGTCTTTATATCTATTTTTAATAATTTCATTCTTCAATTATGCTCTTTACGCGTACGAAGACAACGGTAAATCGTCAGAACCTAGGGATCATTTTCGAACTAGTAAATGGAATGTTGATGTGTCCAGAGCTTTTGGAGTTGGTACAGTTTAATGTACCAACTAGGATGCTTCGACACTATAATTTGTTTTATGTTCTTATTCATAATACTAATTTCAGTATGAATTATCCTTTGGTTAGATCACAGTACAATAAAACAATTTAACATAGACTTATTGGGCATCACTTATGCAAAATTTAGAAAAAATCTGAAAAGCATTTCACATTAGTTAGCTGCAGTGCTGGAAAGGTTTTTGAAGTGTGTCTTAATTTTCTGTTTTCACCGCTTTTAAAGGTTTTATCGAGTTATATTAACACCTCTGTTTTACATATTTTTAAAAATTGTTTTACTGGTAGGTGATGAAATGTGCAAATGTGTATGTAAAATATTTATTTTTATTATGTTACGTTTCTTTTAATCCATGCTAGTTAGTTATGTCATTATTGATAGTTTTTAAGCATATAAAAGTTTTATTTTTTATATTTTTTTTAGATGAAATAGGGGCAAATCCTCATTAATAAAGAATAAATGAATAAATATTACTAAGTTATATTAGTAACTCATCTTTACAAACAAATATTCTAAAAAAATCTCTATAAGAGATTACATATCGTCGGCTTAATATGGAAAGTGCATAAGTCCAAATTTTTAGAATTTGCGATTTTGGCTGAATCTGGTTCACCGCTGCTAAAGCTACAGAAATATATTCTTAGTTTACGAAAATTGTCACTAGATTTTACTAAAAACACTATATAAAGCTTGTAATAATAACGTAAAAATAAGTATAAGTTATATTAAATCGATTATATTTCAACAAAAATATTGATCTGTAAACCATGTTTAAATTTTGAATGGAGTTGTGCAATTTTCATAACATTGTAATTTTTATTTAACTATAAATTTTAAATAAGCCGTAAATTCGTTTTTTTGTCTCTCCTGTAAAATTGTTTATTTTGGACTTATTAAATTTTCATATTAAGCCGACGATATTATAGAACTCTTTCCATTATGGACCTCCTTAATACGGCACTGTAACAATTTGTGAATAGAATTTTGACAACACTGGTCATGACACAATGACACCACAACGTAAAACGAACTATTATCTATAATAAAATGAGTTCATCAATAGGCCTTTTTCATCACAATTTTTTTTTGTGCGCATGCGTCAGTATGAGCCATCTTTTTCGTACTGTTTTTTGTAAACAAGCATATTAAAATGTCCACGTGAGAAAAATTATAATCGATAAATATTAATTTTAAGTGTATTCATTTAAGAAATGGGATAAAAAAGTAAAGTAAAAAGTGTTTAATTGAAAAATCAATTTTTGCAATCAATTAATTATGTTATCTTTACAGAAAGGAAAAACTAAGCGGTATTGTTATGAGTATGTAAAAGTGACACACGGTATAAATTATTATTTTATAAAAAGACGCCTGCAATATCGTAAAAAAGGCAAAATGCATATTAAAACATGTTCAAAATGAGCATTATGAGTGAAAAATGTGGTCGAAGTGACGGTTTTCGATTGATTGATGGATGATGTTACTAAAGATACCTACTTAAGTTTGTTCACAACATTTTCATGGAGAAAGTGGTTCAACAGAAGAAAATCGTATACACAGTAATATTATTAAAAATGTCATGTTGATCCTTAAAATTTTAAATAATTTATCTTAATAATTATACTTCTGATTAACTTTTACGTTAAAGTGTTTTTGCAATTATTAATAGTTGGTTGGCATAATTAATTAGAATAGAGTTATAATTGTTTGTTTTCATTAATTTTTTACACAGTTAATATGTGTTAAAACCTAACCTCTCAATCACCACATTTTTTCCTTGTTCCGAACGGCCACGTCACTTCAAGAACCTTTTTAATTGTTCACAACTATGTGCTTCCACAGAATTATAAAAATATAAATCACCATCAACGAATTTTTTCTAATGATTGATTTGTATGTAGAGATAATAATATTGCTTTTCCGGCCATTGTTGATCAAAACAGTTCGAAACTGTTGAATTGGCGCTATTTCATCATGGCGGCTACGCTTGCGCTCATCACATGATGAAAAGGTCTTGTCATTCTCAGCCTCCATCATTTCAACTTAGTTTTTTATTCAATAATTGCTTAATAAATGTTTTTGTTTAAGGTCCAGCGAAGATCTTTTACACCGTCTATTTGTTTGTATAGCCGGAGTTGCCGACCAACTCCAAACTAACTTCGCTTGTGATCTCAGGAACATCCTTAAATCTGTATTCCTCATCAATGCGACTGACACAACGGAAACTCCTCTCCTGAAAAGCGTAGAACCCGCCAATCCCATGGAGAATTCCATAGAGTATCACCCTTCAGAGAATGAAGTGATTGAAAACAACGAATTTTCAGTGGATCCAAATATTTTGGCTCAAGAGGCTCTCTTTGATTCAAATATTTATTTCCATTTAGATTCGGAAGATGAATGTCCGGAGTATTCGAATCACCCCAGGCCGACGCAAGGGGATGAACGGAGTATAAATTCTCTCTCATCCGATTTGAATAGGTAAGGTTTTATAAAAATCAATTTTCTGAACATTTATTCTAAAAAATTATAATGATGAACCACACTTTTTTATTAAATTATTTTGTCTGTGTTAAATGGTCTATAATTCTGTTGTAATATTTTATTTTTAAAGTATAAATTTGTTACGGTATTAATTTAAATAGGAGAAAATAAATATATAAATCAAGTTATATAAAGTTGAATGAAACTTGCCCTTTTAGACCAAGAGCCCAGTGCCCCCAGACATAACTTATTTTCTAAAGGATAAAATGTGGGGCATCAAGTAGTGTTTATATATGTATTGAATGCCTCCATACCTGCTAAGTTGGTTAGTGTGCCAATTCACAGGTACCAGGTGAGAAAGGTAACTAACTATAAATAAGGTTAACTTTACTTATTTTCTAAAGGCTGATTTTTATATATATTCCATAAAATATTAGAAAATAATATTGAACATTGCCAGACACTTTCCGTGGGCCATAACTTCCGCTAGACGCTTTAAAGCTCCCAATTTTTTTTGTTACTTTACTTATATTCTAATGTCTGGTTTTTATATATGTTATTTAAAGAACTATTTTAAACGTATATTTATTCAGCCAGACTAATTGTAAGGGCCAAACACCCCCCAGACACCAAAAACATTCAGCCGTGAGTATACGCGACTGTACTATGCTCGTGCTTTGGAGAGAGTGAGATACCTATACAAAGTTAAAAGTAGGAACTATTTAAATAATTATTACTTAAAAATATTAAAAGAAAATGTTTATGTATAAAAATTTTGTGAAAAACGTCTTTTTAAAAAGTAACTTAGGTGTATAAAAATTTCATGTAAAAAAAAATAATTTTCCTTCGGGAAAGTGGTTTTCTGGGCATTTTCCGGTAAGACCAACTTTTTTTTCGACAACGGATTTATCCGTTTCGAGAAATTCCCGTTCATGTGGTGAAAATCGAAAAAAAAAAAATTTTTGTTTTTCAAATTTTCCGACTTTTCCGATGAAATTTTCTGGAAAAACTAAAAATACCAGTTTACTACTCGACGTTGCTCACAACCTGGCATAGACAATTTTCCGGTACATCAAACAGATTTTCCAGGAAAATTAGGGGAAATTTCGGATGAGACGATTTTCCGAGGAAAACATTGCTTAAAAGAGGAGAGACGAATAAAACCTGAAAAAGAATTATCCGTATCGACGAGAAGCATCGATTGATGTATCACATGACATGGTTTTTCTAACAGGGAGAGGGGGGAAATAAAAAAAACCGCAAAATATTTCGTTTTTTTTTTTATTTTTGAAAAATTAAATGCAAAGGCGTTATTAAATATTTCTATAGGACGGTAAACATTTGAAATTTTCCTTCGAAAGGTAGTCGCACAGCTGTGCGACATGACTCCCTAGTATGTTCCTATTTAATTGTTTTATCAATTTAATAAAGCAACAACTCGATAATTTTGAATCACGGTTTTCCAGAGTAGATATTTCAAGCCATATTAAAAGATTTTATACGTGTTGCTGTTGTACCATCGATTTATATCTTACTTGCTCCAAAGCACGAGCATATAGTACAGTCGCGCATACTCACGGCTAAATGTTTTTGATGTCTGGGGGGTGGTTGGCCCTTACAATTAACGTTCATTTTTGGCCCCACGAATTAATAACATTGTTTTGGCTTACCTGATTAATCATACGAAAAAAAAAAGGGTAAAATCGTATTGATGATATCACTATTATTTTTGTCATTAACTAATTTCACCTGTATTCTAACTTTTGGACATCATTATTACAATTTATTTCATCTCATCACTAAGTAAAAGGATGGTAGCTCACCCCTAGTATAATACTTTGTACAATGGTCATATTTACAGTGTAGTGTTCACTGTTTTAATTTGCCAGATTCTCCTAAAAATAGACCAAGTTTCGTTGTAAATTTATATATATTATGTATTATAGTCTCACCTTTGTTTAATTAATTATTTACGAAACCATTCTTTAAGATTTGACTTTGTTTATTTTTGTTATAGATGTCAGGTTAGATTAATGTTTATTAATTATGACAGTGAATGACATGAACGTCATTTGACGACAGAACACCGACAAGTGTCATGTTTGTAGTACGTTCTAATATCGGGCTCAGAACCCGAGGTAAGGTAGTTTCACAATGAGCGATTTTAAGTCGTGAGGGATTTTGTTTTGCGATCGCTGTTGTGTTAATTTTTTGTCGGGAACAGTTTCCCAAATGTAGTTATACTGTATATAAATATAGTTTTTAGGGTACCTTTCGTAAATGGTCTGTTAAGTTATATAGTGGGGAATTCTTGAGGATGAATTTCTGAACCCACTTGACATTTATCGGAAAGGGATTTCGGCCATTTTGGACGGCTGACGTATTGTTTTTTTCTGTCAGTGGGTATTCAGTCACGAGAGACGATTTTTGTGTCGAAATAGAATTTTCTTAATATTTAGCCCCATCGGCTTACCCTAATTAAAGGGGATTTTAGATTCTATTTCATGGTTAATTGTGGGTAAATGGACATTTCGTATTTTGAGGGGAATTTTAGTGAATTGGTAAATTCCCATGGTCATTGGTCCAGCCCATATCTAATATAGGATTTTAACGCAAGAATTGGACGTTCACAGCATTTGGAGTGTGGAATATTGTTGTGCTGTGAATCATCTCACGTGGTTCTCATCCTTGAAAGGCTACCAAGTTAACCCTTTACGAAAAAGGTATGTTTTGTATATATTATGTTATGTTACCAACCATGTGTAACAGAATTTTAATTATTGGAGCTCATAATACTGTTTATGACTCACTGTTGAGCCAATGTAGTTTTTCTTTATCCTAGATACTGAATATTTTCTAGTTTATGTACATTTTTGGGTAATCCTATAGTTCGGGATACTTGAGTCAATGTGTATTGACATTTTTCTTTGTAATATTTTAAGGGTTTAACCCAGGGGGTTGTTAGCCCAGGATTCGACGACAGTTTGACCCAAGGGGTTGTTGACCCAGGATTTCAACAGTTGTACACAGAGGGTTATATCGTCCGGAGTTCAATGGTTTCATCGAGGGAACACAGAACATTGGTATGCTAACCACCTAGCTTACTTGTAGCTAGATTTACAATGATGATTCTCGTTCTGGATAGGAAGATGGGAATGCTGTGAAAGAAGACACCCTACTATCAGGTTTTTCTTATACGTTATATTGAAGGTTTCATGCGTGCTTTGTTAAACTATACATTCACTTTCAACCGAATGTTGTCAAGGTATTCTCAACATTATTTATACTTTTGAGCACAGAATGTTCTAAGGTTCTTTCACTCATTACTTAAGTATTATCAAATGTTACATCGTTTAATTGATTAATATTTTAAAGTTTTACTTAATTTAAGCACTTAATGCTGATGTAGTAATCCTTCGGGTCGCAGAACACTTGGACTGCTTCCACGTTTAAGTTGTAATTCTTCAGTTATTAAGGGCTACTGCCATAATTTTACTTTATTCAATTTATTCATTATTAAATGGTCCAGACTTAACGATTAAGTTAAGCAATCTCAGAAGACCCGTGTGGGGGCAGAGATTAAGTAACCTCTTCCAATCTGGGAGTTTAAGTAAATAACCTCTGTGTCTGAAGTCCCTTAGTGTATCTTTGTATTTTTATTATTTTTTTGATATTTTTATTTAGTTCTATGAATTATACTTAATTATAAAATTTCATGGTTTAATAATTTTCTTTTGGGTAGTTTGGTCTTAACTAAAAGTTAAGCAGATATCACCTTCCAATTTGGAGAGGGTTATAAGATTATAAAGATTATAAGTTTACTGTTTTTATAATATATGAAGTAGTATAGGTACGGTGATGCACAATATTTAAGTTAACTATTATATTATATTTTTTTTATGTAAGGTGGAAATTAATGTTTTGCGCAAGCGTCATGCCTGGTACCAAGCTAACGACGAACCGTTCCATACTTTGATACATTTATTAATTTTTTTTTGGTTATGCATATACATACACTGTGTAAGTTTTTCCTTTTAATTTCCTCCAACTTTTTTTTTTTATCTAAGCCATCAGGTAATTAGTTTGTATATTTACTAAATATTTTTTTTTTCTTTATAAAGGAACATAAGTTGAGGTTTGTCTTTTATTTCTTTCCTCATTTACTGGGTTTTTGGGGAAATAGGATCATAGTTTGGCCACTATATAGACCCAGTTGGCGCCTATTTATTTGTCTACTATTTCCGGAATTTTTGTAAGCTATCCACCCCCTAGCTGCCGTCTGAGCGACGTCGAAGGCCCGAAGGTTGACACCGGAACAACCGAAACTTGTGTAACCGTAGTAGACAACATTTTTAATTGTAGTTAATACTTTAATAATTTTTTTTTTTTTGTTTAAAAATTTTGGTGGAATCACCAAGTTCATTTTGTAGGTTACATTTTTGGCGCCCAACGTGGGGCCGTCGTGTTTAAAATATTATATTTTGAGTAATTACCTTGGCTTTTTGATGAATATAAGTCTTAGATAATTTTCATACTGATAGAATTGAGTATATGTATATGCATTTACCATTTGTTGTAAGAACTGAATAGTGTACCAATTTGATTCATTGATTCACCTTTTTAAATGATTTTTACTATTTGAATTTTGAGTATTTAAAAAAAAGTCAACTGATTGTGTATTATAGTTGAAATTTTGACTTTATTATTTTTGTACTATATATTGTATATTTTGGAGCTTATATTTATATCGAGTTTATGAGTTTTGATATTAAGATGGCTCGTAAAATGTTTATTAATCGTTTGGAGAAAGAGGAGCTTGAGTGGGAACTCCGCTTTAGAGGTCTCAATGTTGGCACCGCAGAAGAGATGCGATCTCAACTTTCTATGGCTCTGCGTATGGAAAAAGCTGGTGATAGTTTTAAGTACCCTAGTTATCCTTTTAAGTTTGCTGATGATGAGGCTGCTCTTTCCAGGAAGTGTGTGGAGTTAGACGCTTT